CCATTATAGATGGTTGTGAGCCACCATATGGTTGCTAGGAATTGAACTCAGGACCTTTGGAAGAACAGTCAGTGCTCTTAACCTCTGAGCCATCTCTCCAGCCCCCCGAAAGTAAATTTTTTAAAAGTAAAAATAGTTTATTTATTGTTTGACAATTTCATCCATGTAAACAATGCATCTTAGTCATATGCACCCCAAGTCCCTCTCCACCTGCCCTCGGGAATCCCCAATTCTTCCTTCACCTTCCCTTCAGGAACCCTCAACTTCTCCATCCATTCCCCCTAAGTACCACAACATGTGCCCCCCCCCCCCCGCGCCCATTTCATTTCATTTATTTATTTATTGAGATTAAAGAAACACACAAACAGCCGCAGCGGAATACAGATGGACTTTGACTCAGCTCCTTACAGACCTGCAAACAGGCGCTCAGACAAACAGTCTACCTAAGTAGTCACGGCAGCAGCGCTCTTACCAGTGACCAAAGTGCTCCCTGCACTCACCTCTGGTCCTGCACACCTCTAATCACAGCACTCGGGAGACAGGATCTCTGTGAGTTCAAGGCCCGCACCGTCTACAGAGTGAGTTCCAGGACAGCTAAGGCTACACAGAGAAACCTTGTCTCAAAAAAACAAACAGTCAAGTGAAAAAGAAGAAGCAACACAGTTTGGTTATCGAGTGTATGATTCTGTTTATATGGAACATTGGACTAGGTAAGTCCACAGAGACAGGGAGTAGGTTTATGGCTGCCAAAGCGGAGCAGAGCAGGCAGGAAGTGGTCACAGGTCTCCCTGGGCTGACAGGAATGTTTGCTAACCAGCATTATGAGTATCATACATGCCACTGACGTGGACACCTAGGGAAATGCACTTGCCTTAAAAAAACAGAAAGAAAGAAAACAAAGCAAAACCAAAGACTTGCTGAAAAGCTGCGTGTCAGTGATATTTACTGCTTTGGGTGTTTATTTTCATTTTAAAGCCTCATTGATGTAGAGCTCAGATTTGCACTAACCACGACACAGAGGCACAATCATGCTGGCTTTTAAGTAGATTTGTGTTTCTTTTCAAATGTTTTTAACTCCTCCCCAGGTGACAGGTTTTCTTCCCGTAGGCGCTGCAGCCCTCTGATCCCATTTGGGTGCATTCGCCCTGGGTTAGTTAGCACGTAGTGCCTGTCCTGGCAGCTTAGTCTTGAAATAGTAATGCCTTTTTCTGTGCCTTTCAGCATGAAGAGAAGGGTATACTTGCTCACAGTGCCCCGATTTTAACAGAGAAAGTGAGTATCCCTGTTGTGTTTTCATGTAGGACACTGTGAAGGGAAAATGGGATCGTGCTGACTTGGTGGGTGTGGGCTTGCCTGGATCCTTTGTCCGTAGTGAATCATCTTGTTAAAAATAATAGAAGCCTTGTAAAAATAAAACAAAATACTATGGGAAAAGATGCTGTTAGTGCGAGGAAATCCCGAGAGATGGGTAGATGTCGTAATGTGCATGTGTCTATTGACAGAGAATGAGAGCTAAGGATGACAGAGAGTGTGCCGAAGGGAGGAAATGAGATGGGTGAGCTGGAGGAGAGAGTTTCCCTGGGCTGCAAACAAACGAGATCTCCTCGGGAAGGTTACTCTGTGTCTGTCTGCAGGCTTTGTTCTTGTGCTCATGACTCCTGGCAGCCATGGCTCATAAAGTCCCTGGGAATAATGAGCTAGAAAGTAGTGGACCGCCAGGCAATGGTGGTGCACGCCTTTAATCCCAGCACTTGGGAGGCAGAGGCAGGCGGATCTCTGTGAGTTCGAGACCAGCCTGGTCTACAGAGCTAGTTCCAGGACAGGCTCCAAAGCCACAGAGAAACCCTGTCTCGAAAAAACAAAAAACAACAACAACAACAAAAAAGAAAGTAGTGGACCATTGCTGCTGAGGGAATATAGAAGTTGGTTTCTGTAAACTGGTGCCATGTCTCCAGTTGATGAGGGCATAACCATGTTCCGTGTAGGCTTCTGCTTTAAAGACACTTTTTAGATGTAACATGGAGGGTGTGATGCACTCGGAAGACAGAGGCAGGCAGATCTTTGTGTTCAAGACTAGCCTGATTATACAGAGTGAGTTTCAAGACATCCAGGACTGCACAGTGTCTCAGACAAAACTAAACAAACAAATCCCTGAGGGCTGAGGACGTAGCTCAGTTGGTAGAGTGCCTGTCCATCGTGCATCTAGGAGGAGGGGACCTCAATTGAGAAAAATGCCTCTATAAAATCCAGCTATGAGGCATTTTCTTAATTAGTAATTGATGGGGGAAGGTCCAGTCCATTGTGAGTGGAGCCATTCATGGGCTGCTGGTCCTGGGTTCTATAAGAAAGAAGATTGAGCAAGCCATGAGAAGCAAGCCAGTGAGCAGCACCCTCTATGGCCTCTGCTTCAGCTCCTGCCTCCAGGTTCCTGCCCTGTTTGAGTTCCTGTCCTGACCTCCTTCAATGATGTGCTACAGTATGGAAGTGTTAAGCCAAATAAACCCTCCCTCCCCGAGTTGCTCTGGTCAAAGTGTTCCATGACAGCAATAGAAGCCCTAACTAAGACACAAATCTAGCATCTTCTTGCAGAAGGTGATGGGCAGCAGATTTGCTGTGGTATGGGATAGATTTCTGAGTTTCCTTCCTTCCTTATTCCCTCCATAAATCCACTGCAGGCTTCATCACAGCTCATTTCTTTTTCTTTATGTATCTTTAAAGATTTCTGTAGCATGAATAATAAAAACTCAGAAACAGATATTGGGGTTCAAGCTGAAGATCAGAAAAGCAAAACAGCCAAGCCACTAGAGAAGCCTAGCCTTTGTCTCCTCCTGTCTTATAGTCCCCTCTAGTGCTGGGGTTAAAGGTGTGAGCTGCCACCCCCTGGATCTGTTTCTGCATTGATCTTGTATAGCCCAGAGTGGCCTTGAACTCACAGAGATCCATCTGCCTCTGTCTCCCAAATCCTGGGATTAAAGGTGTGTGACACCACTGCCTGGCCTCTAGTGGCTTAGTTTTACCTTCTGATCTTCAGGCAAACTTTACTTATTAAAATGTGAATAAAATATCACCATATTTCCCCTTTGTGTCTAAAATTTAAAAAGAGTAACTAATATAAGAAAAACTATATACAGTAAGTAAAATAACTATATACATTATATACAGGCAATAAATATATCAACAATCTCTAGTTCATTTGCATTTGACAAATTCAGAGAAAATACTCCATATCTATCCTGTCTTGGTGAGTCCAAAGTCTTGTACCTAATTTACTTTCTATCTTAACTTGATTTCTGCATCAGGTAAACAAGGAAAACTGTAACTCTCTAGTCTTCAATTCCTTCAGAGACCCACAAAGGAAATAATATTAACTGAGTAAGCAGGAAGTGCAAGCAAGTGACTTCCAAAAACTGTGAGAAATGACAGAAACAGCTGGCTACCTGGACAGTCACCCAGAGTTTCTCTGCAATGTTGAGGCATCCATCTTCAGCCTACAGGCCTAGAATATCTGATAGACTTTTCTATGAAACAGGGTTTTTGAAGGACTGTCCCACCTTGTCTGGTAAGGTTTGGCAGTCACTCTCTTCTGTGTCCTGCTTGTCCCATTAGGACAGCATACTGTCAGAAGTTGAGGCAAGGGCATTTTATTACTCCATGGCTTACTTTTGCCACAAAGAAAGCAAACTCCATATGAAATTTTTTTGCTGCTCATCATCTCTGAAGTAGATTGGTGCTGTCAGGAGCAGACGTGTCGTATTGTCATAAAGAAAGAAAAAAGAACCTATGTTATTAGAACATCTTAAATGCCATTTTCTGTAGATCTCTGAAGTGTTTGATGATGACCTGTCTGTTTAAAACATATCTCTGTTTGACCTTGAAAACATAACTAATGTGACTACAAGTTCAATTGTAAAGGTGACTAATTACTAACCTGCATTTCCTTATTATCCTAAACAGTTGGTACTAATAACTTTCAAGGACTAGAAATTTACATTATACTGTTAAATGAGTTGTATAGGTACAATGCCTTGAACAAGAGTAAAAATGTATGTACTGTTGGACTCTGGCGTCCAAACACCGAGAAGGAGTCGCCCCCAGAGACCATCTCACACACTACAGCCGATGCAAAAGCATGAGGATTTTATTAATTCTGTCGTGACAGGGTCCCACAGCATTCGGGAAGCTGAGGGACCTTGAATAACTGTTATAGTCTACTTTTAAAGGGGCCACAGAAGCAAGGGGGGTTGTTCTTTGACTATTCTGATTGGCTTATTTGAAAGGGCTATTACCAATAATTGACTGGAGAGCTGTTGCCAGATCAGATGAGGTAAGAGGTCATTTTGACCCCATTTCCCAGGGGACTGAACCAAAGCATACATATATGGGTAATTGTTCAGGAACTGAGTATGTGCGAGTGTAGCTGTTAGGTCTTTGGTTCCCAGGGGAGGAGGGGAAGCACTATGGCACAGAGGCTGAGAGGATTCAGAATTGTCAAAAATGGCTTCAGGATTGTCTTAAAGTCTTACAGCACAGTCTCAAATTTGTATCAATATACAAAATTTGTATACAACACACAAAAGTCCAATCTAGTGTAACATATTTAAAACTAGTAGTTGCTTTTTTAAAAGTAGATTCAATAATCTACCTTTTCATCTTATCATATCTTTATCCCCCCTTTTTTCTTCTCAAGAACCTTGACTCTAATTTTCTTTGTTTAGCCTTTTTCCTGACCATTACCAATAGCAGCTTGTAGCCAATCCCCTTAAACATTGACAAATCCATAGCCCACTGAACAACCAAAAACCATCTGCCCCACCTCTTGGGAATGTGGGCATCATATTCTTAAATTTACTTCCTTCTGTCTGGAGGTGACAGTGTCTTTGGGGATCCTGAAAAGAAAATTTGGGGTCAATTGTCAAGTCCTGGGAGAGGCAGCTGTATCATCTGTTGTCCAGTCTCTGCATCATGAGAAAGTACAGGGCTTGTCTCAAGTCCTGGCTGGAGTAGTCTGTTAGACTAAATCATCTCAGCTAGCCACCTCAAAATTGTTCTGAGCAGTTTGTAGTCCAAAAGTAAATCTTTAGGTGGTGTTTTGCAGTTTAGTGATGTTATCTTAGTCCTGGAGGAATTATTGTTGTAGGGCTCCATATGGAGCATTAGGCGTGCTCATGGTTCACTGCAGAAAACCGATAGAGACTCAAACTTGAAATCGTGTACATGAAGGTAGATGAAACCTTTATCTAGAATTAGTTAGTACTCTATATGATCACTAATATCATGACAAAAGTGTTTATATATATATATATACTTATGATAAATCTTATACCTTAAGAAAAGCTGTTAGTCAATATAAAACCAAAGATTTATGAGATTAGTGGCAATAAAGGAGTCCATAAATATTTGTTTTTCTTCTGTCCCATATCAAGTGGCTCTTCTGACTGAGGCAGAGATTTTGGATTTCACTTTAATGAACATGTTTGGGATTAGAGAAGGGGAGAGCCACACTCTAACTCCAAAGCCGGCTTTAATTTTTAATTAGAATAGGACCACAAAAAGGATTATTTGCATTACATGTCTGTAGAAAACAACAGAAACAAACATTTGGGAAGATTATGAAATTTTATCCTGATGGAAATGTGATATACCAATAGACCAATTACCTTTTTCTTGGGACACTTTTTCTGGATGATTTGTCCTTTTTCTTCAGATGTCTCATTTTGTCCAGTGATCTTCAGATTCCTTAGCTGGATACCTTTATTCTTCTCTAAAGGCAGAAACAAAACCCTTCCCCAGCCCTAATTTTGGGGAGATTTTCTTTTGGAAAGTTAAGATCAAATGAAAAACATTGTTAGTTTTATAGGTTAGTTCAGATTAAATGGCTATAGTTCTTAATGAACTGTCATCTTTTCTAATTAAAAGAAGTCTCTTGTTCAAATTTAATCTTTATCAATTTTGATAATATCCATAGCTTTTCTTCTCCTATGAAAACAAAAGCAAAACACCTTTCTTAACATAACACATGCCGTGGTTTCCATTCTGAGGTCAGTACATCTTTAAAGTATATCGGCTGATTTAATTCTGTAGTTTTTTTCTATTATCCAATGTCTCTTCCCAGCTGTTGTTCCTTTCTCATTAGCATTTAGAAAATTCAAAGTTAATAAAGCATTATGCGATCTATTTCTGGGGGTGCTGTGGGACAATGGTCTTGTACCCTTGTCACTTGTATTATTTTAATAAAACACTAATTGACCTGTAGCCAAGCAGGAAGTAGAGAT